CTAACTCATCATGCAAATTACCTCCACCTTACATTTCTTGCCCCATGGCTGAAAGAAGTTGTATGAAATAGCAATAGCACTTACATGCCACTTCACAGTGCTTTACAGTCCTCTCTAAGCAGTACACAGGGTTAGCATATTGCCCCCAACAATGTGGGTCCTCATTTTATTGATCTCACAAGGATGGAAGGCTGAGTCAACTTTTTAGTCGGTCAGGATTGAATTCCTGGCGGTGGACAGAATTAGCCTGCAATACTGCATTCTAACCACTCTGCCACCACAGCTCATTAAATGTCATTCAGTTAAATGTGATTCAAATATATGTCATTTCATTGTGAAGAGGATTTCATTAGTCTTCTGATACATTTAGAAAAGATTGACTTTTATTCTCAATGTTCAGTGGAATGATAAAATAGTGGATCTACCTTCCTTCCTTCCTTCCTTCCTTCCTTCCTTTCTTCCTTCCTTCCTTCTTCCCTCCCTCCCTTCCAATTGATTGATGAAAGAGAGATACTCTTTGGAACCAGCTCCCCCCAGAAATCCGGACCATACCCACTCTGATGGCCTTCAGGAAAGCCATGAAAACTTGGCTGTTCCGGCAGGCCTGGGGCTGTTGACCTCACTATTGAGGTCCGGCCCTGACTAGAATGAATTTGATGGATGATTGTTGTTTTAAATTGTATTGTTTTTATGTTTTTTATATTTTGTTGTAAGCCGCCCAGAGTCCTTTGGGATTGGGCGGCATATAAAAGTTTTAAATAAATAAATAAATAAACATTGTCAGAAGAAGCTTCTTGGATGAGAAGTGAAACATCTTCAAGGAAAAACAAAGCCCAGTGGTCTTTTGAAAAAGCACCTATGGGACATTCCTCCCACCCCCAGTAAGACCCAAAAAACTAAAAGGAAGGATTGGTGATCCAATATCCCATCGCCAATCTTGCATAAGCAATGGATACCTGGTTTCACAACTCGCTTGATGTTCTTTAAAGCAAGCAATGCTAGCAACCTTTTCATGCTCATGAACAACACAGCTTGCATCCAAGGGGCTGCTAATCTGAAATGCAGAAGTGTGTGTATATACATACGCACACACACACACACATATATATAATATTACTTAACCTTGTTATGTATTTGCTCGCTCAGCTTCTTGTCTCTCGCAATGACAGTTTAGGACATCTATGGCTGGTTGCACACAGTAATATTTGAAACGGGAGCCAATCTGGGTCGGTCATCAGGACCAGAAATTTTTTGTCTTTCGAGCTATCTGACTCAGGCTGGAGCCCATCTTTCAATATTTGAAACCTCTGAATAAAACATTGTGCAATGGCGTTTATCTCTGCGGGAGGCAGATTGCTTCAATTGGAAACTTATTCCAACAGAAATCTTGGTAGGAATTATTTTTTAAAAAATCCAATTGTAACATAAAACACTCTTGATATTTGCAGCTATTTCTAGGGCCCTTGGATGACATTTTAGCCCTGTAGAATTTTAGCCCATGTAATGTTTTCCCAGGTCACAATTTGCCGCAGAATGAAGCATGACATTAAGTGTCTGATTTCTGTTCTCCAAACAGTCAGTTTCTAAATTTTTATCTTACACAACCCATCCAAGGGGAAGTCATGTATTTGTTTTCTATGTAAGATTTCTTACTGGGGCAGGGAAATTGCTTTCTTTCCCCAAGCTTAGAATGTTTTTTTTCCACCGCAGGTCCTCTGCAGAATATCACAGTTGCCTCTTTTTCCAGAAAGTGTTTTTGTTAACGTTGAGTGTATTTGGTTTTGGCCTTACCTGTGGGAATTGGTAAAGAGGTGACTACTTTAAAAACATCTAGATGTGTCATTCTAAACCAAAGGCTACAGTAAGAACATCATACAGGGAATCTTCGACTTAACGACCACAGTTGAGCCCCAAATTTCTGTTGTTAATTGAAACATTTTGTCAGGTGAGTTTTGTCTCTTTTCACAATCTTTCTTGCAACTGTTGTTCGAGTGAAATCACTGCCCTTGATAAGTTAGTCACACGGTTGGTTGCTAAGTGAATCTGGCATCATCCTTGACTTTGCTTGTGAGAAAGTCCTAAAAGATGATCAGGTGACCTTGGGACACAGCAGCAGTCATAAATATGAACCAGTTGCCAAGCATCTGAGCTTTGACCACATGATCACAGGGATGGCTGCAAAGGTCGTAACTGAAAAACTCAGTCATGTTTTTCAGTGCCCTTTGATCGCCAAAGAACCATTATAAGTCAAGGACTACCTGTACTTTAACAAGTGCTGCAGTGTCTTCGGCAAAATGTTTCAACCGTGCGCAGTTAAGAGTCGGGACAAACCCCCTTGTCATTGTTATCGTCCCAGTGAAGTATTGCTCGTCCTTGCCGATGTTTTACTATACTTTGTGGAGTGTAAACAATCTTATGATTTGTCCCAAAGCACAAGCTATTGTGAGCCACCTCTGCATCTATTCATTCCAGCTTCTGTATGAATCCCTGATAAGATATTCAGAACTTTCTCACAGTCCTTTATTGACTTATGTTTTTTTTTTTAAGTCAAATCACTTCGGATTTCAGTTTTGGCAATGCTTAAAATTTATTAAAATCCTCAGGGACGCGGTGGTTAAGACGCTGAGCTTGTCGATCAGAAGATTGGCAGTTCAGCGGTTCAAACCCCTAGTGCCGCGTAACGGAGTGAGCTCCCGTTGTCCCAGCTTCTGCCAACCTAGCAGTTCGAAAGTATGTAAAAAATGCAAGTAGAAAAATAGGAACCACCTTTGGTGGGATAGTAACAGCTTTCCATGCGCCTTTAGCGTTGAGTCATGCCAGCCACATGACCATGGAGACATCTTCGGACAGCGCTGGCTCTTTGGCTTTGAAACGGAGATAAGCACCGCCCCCTAGAGTCAGGAATGACTAGCACACATGTGCAGGGGAACCTTTACCTTTAAAATTATAGCTGTTTCTTCCCTCTTCCCCACACTCTCTTTTAATCCTCATTAAATCAATGTATTTCTCTGAATGGGCCTGTTTTTTATTGCACCGTCCTTCAAGAAAATAAAGTCCAGTTGGATTCTTAACCGCTGGGAACAAAATTGTGTCCTAACATTGCTCATACTTAACAGAAGTATTTCACTCTAGCTCTCTTGATATCTTATATAATCTGTATTCCTTGGTGATGGTGAAAACTGAAATAATTTCTCTCGTCAGTCGAGGTGTTCCAAAATTTAAGCTGGCCTGTCAGTCAGTCCTTTGGAACCAATTTGCAGTGATTAATTGCAGTATTGTATTTTGAAAATGAATGTGACCAACTCAATGTTAACCGGGTGCTGTATGAATATGTATAAATTGAGTAATAATTTACAAGTGGTCGGTTGATTCCCTTCATAAAGTCTTATTCTTTGAGCCTCTGTGTACTTTTCAGTTACTTCTGCGTTTTCCCCAATATTAGTTTTCACCAATAAAGTTTGATATTATGTAAGATTTTTTTTTCATATGCTATTGCCAATCATAATTTCTCAGGCTGTTATGGTCCACCCCAGTCTAATCCCTTAGGGAAGTAAAACCCTTGACTCCCATTTCGTTGAAATGAAAGGTACTTTTACTAGTTGCACTAAAGCCAGGCAGAATCTAATTTCCCATGCATCAATACCAAACTATTTTCCTTCAGTCCTATCTTCCTTCTTATGACCGGTCCAAATCCAGCCAATGAGATGCCGCCGGGATGTTTTGGGAACACAGGTGTTTGGGCTAGTAATTTTCCCCTGGGGGCAAAAGGCCTTGAAGAACCTGTTCCACGTTGACACCCCCTCCCAAATTTCCACACACAAATGCATGCAGTTTTATTGCCCATTTGCCCATCCACCCATCCCCCCCCCTAGTCCTTTGATGGCAGGGTGCCAGCGCAGCGCCAAGCCAAAGATTGTGCCCCTGATGCTTTTTTTAAAAAAAAGTTGTATGGCCAAGAGAAGCTGTTTTGAATCATGCAGCCCAATTTTCTTCTGTCTAGGAGGGTGACGTAATTGTCAGAACAAATTCCCTTCCATCTGCGTTTCCTATGTGAGTGAAGAAATAAATGTTTAGAGGTCTTTGGGGTAGGAGGGGGCACCCTCTGAAAGCAGTGGTTCTTGTCTGCGAACACCTGGGAGATGTCAATCCCAGGGGGTCTTGCGAAGGCTTGAAAATGTTATTTACATCTTAAGTCTTGGGGGGCTGTGGTCACAAAATGTGTTTAAAGGAGGTCTGAAGTGAAGGTTCAGAACCACTGCCTTAAATGTGTTTCCTAAGTATTCCGGAGGTTCTTATTTTTGAGGTTCTTCAGCAACATTAATTAAAACTAGGGGATTCAGCATTTAACAAAGTAGAATTTAGTACAGGCAGTTGCTGACTTGTAATCAGAGGTGGGATTCAGACAGTTCTGGCAAACCTGCAGCGGCAGCTCTGCCCACCCGCCGGATGTAATGCACAACCTTTTGGCATATGCTCACATTTGCCAAATTTGGTAGGTAAGGTAGTGGGACGCGGCAGCTCCAGCTAAGACACTGAGCTTGTTGATCAAAAAGGTCGGCAGTTTGGCGGTTCAAATCTTTCGTGCCGCNCCACAACACTTATGTATTAAATTATATAGTGCCTTATTCCGTAACTATTGTATTTTACTCTACTCTTATTTTAAATTGTTTGTATAGGATTTTATTGGTGATATGTGAACCCTGTGCTTTGATATGGCCTATAGGCTAATCAATAAAACTGCAATCTAATCTTATTTGAAAGATGAAAAATTATCTCTTGTCCGGGATTAGTTGCTTAGACTGAATTCAGAGGCTTTTTTTTTTTAAGTAGGGTTTAAAAGGAACCGTATTAAAATCCTTTTAATTTCCTTTAATTTTGATGCCTTTTGGGTAGGAAACATCTGACAAAAGCGTGATAGAGCTTCAGCAGTATGCCAAAAAGAACAAGCCTAATCTGCACATTCTAAACAAGTTACAAGAGGAAATGAGAAAATTGGCACAAGAAAGGGTGAGTAGCATCTTGGTAGGCTCCCTGGCTGCTTTAACCCTACAAAACAGGTTTATGGTTCTGCTTACTTCGTGGGTCTCCTGATTCTTAAACATGAAGGTATTTAGAAAGTCCTTAAGTAAAGCTTTTCTAATTAGATTTTTTTTTTTGTTATTTTCTGTAATGTATTACCCTGTTTCCCAGAAAATAAGACCTCCCCGGATAATAAGCGCAATCGGGCTTTTGAGCGCATGTGCTAAAATAAGCCCTCCCCCGAAAATATTTAAACGCATGTGCAGACGGTCCCCGCCATTTCCTCTGGTTGCTTGCCACACGAACAACACGAGGTGAGGAGGCGAAACCAGAGGAGGGGGAAAGGGAGGGGAGAACATGCCCCATGCACCCCACACTCCCTTACCTAATGGTCGCTCCCGCAACCCTAGCCACAGCATCCCTTCTGTCATGCTAACAGCCGCCGCCAAAAAAGCGGCAGGTTCAGTGATTCGCAACACAGCAGCAGCCATCAGGTGACCATAACCTCCTGCGCCTCAAAAATAATAAGACCTCCCAGAAAATAAGCCCAGGCATTTATTTTTGGGGTCAGAAGAAAATAAGTCTTATTTTCATGGAAACACGGTAATTTGGACTGTTAAGAATTTCACAGTGTTTATTGTTTTCACAAAGTATGATAACCAGACTGGTCTTTGTCTTTATATGAAACTATAACCATAGGAATTCTATATTCATAGGAATTCTCCCTTTAGGATGAACTTATTTTAAAACACCACTTTTCTCCTACCCTTACAAACCCAAGCCAAGCTCTCCAACTTGGATGTTAACAAAAACAAAATTCTGATAGTATTGAGAGGAGCCAGTTCATCCATGGCCCCTTAGGCAATCTTTTTTTCCAAGAAAAAGATGTTGCCATTTCTGTTTTAAATTTACCTAGCGACCTGCGCCGTGGCTCCTGAGGTTAGAATGCTGGGCTGACGGATGAGCAGCTCATGTTTGAGACCTGTTGCTGCCGCAGGGCAGGTTGAGCCTCCCCATCACACGCTCTGGCTCCTGCCCACTCAGCAGTTTGAAAGCAGGTGACCACAAATAGAATAGAATAACAGTTGGAAGGGACCTTGGAGGTCTTCTAGTCTTACCCCCCTGCTTAAGCAGGATGCCCTACACCACTTCAGACAAACAACTGTCCAATCTCTTCTTAAAATCCTCCAGTGTTGGAGTAGCCACAACTTCTAAAGGCAACTTCTGTTCCACTAATTAATAGTTCTAACTGTCAGGGAATTTCTCCTTAGTTCTAGGTTGCTTCTCTCCTGGATTAGTTTCCATCTATTGTTTCTTTTCTTGTCTTTTTGTGCTTTGGAGAATAACTTGACTCCCTCTTCTTTGGGGCATCCCCTCAAATATAGGAACACTATATGCTATCATGTCACCCCAAGTCCTTCTTTTCATCAGACTAGTATAGATTAATACATAGATTAATGGGGTACCACTTCAGTGGGCAACTTCACAGGTATGCGAAATGAGCCCCCTACTGGAAACTCCCCCCCCCCCAATCCTTTCACCACAGAAGCACTTTGATGCTTCAGACAAGGAAGTATTAACTAGGATAATCTGGAGCAAGATCAGATATTAAGTTCAGGAAACATTTGAATGTTGGCATCCAGCAAGGATGAAGGATATGTATAATTATGGCTGGTTCTTTCTTTTCTTTTTTTAATTTCTAGGAGGAAACACGAAAGAAACCCAAGATGACAATTGTAGAATCTGCTCAGCCCGGCAGTGAGCCTCTTTGTACTGTGGATGTGTAATGAGAAAAATTTAGGAATTGGAGCAATAAAGCAAGTGGCGAAAGTTAGGAATGGTTTTCATGTTTTACTTTGTCAACAGTTTGAAGGAGAAATTGGCTTGCTTCGGGGAGAACAACCTAGCCGTCAAAGCTGCTTCAAACGTGCATTGTGTGTTTGCATCAGGGTGATCAGGCTAAGTTTTGTGTGTGCTTTCCCAAGATGTTATTCACGAGGGCAAAAATCTACCCAGCTATGCATTTGAAGAGAAGTAGAATGGTTCACCTGAGCAAAGTCACTCCCCATCGTTTCCAAAAATTAATGTCTGTTGCCTTTGATGGAGATGCTTAAGGATTAAATGCAGGATGTTCATTTAAAGAGTGGAACGAATGTGTAACCCAGGAGCACAGCTCGTCCCTGCTTTTAGGGACATTACAGGTGCTTGTTTTCTGAAAGGGGTTTCTTGTATTTAAACATTGATTGCATCCTTTGAACAGCTAGCTTGAAGGAAAGACACAAAAATGTGTGTTGCTTTATGCCCTGCTGAGATTAGGCCAGTAGGATTGCTTCTCAGTGAATTTTTTTGCAGACTTGGGATTTTTAGCATGGATGCAATGATTATCAGAGAAAAACTAATTGCAAACAGCTCCGAGGTTTCCATTTTTTCAATTGTTCTGTTTAAAACAAAGACGAACATAGGAAGCTGAGATTGAAAGATACATTTTGGTTTCTCTTAAGATGTAAACAACAAAACTTTAGGTGAGCCAAGCATCACTGCTCTGCAACTTTTCTTCACGCTAGTAGGGCTAGTGTGAAGAAACATCACCATGCTTTCTTCCAGTTCTTACCAGATTAACCGTAAATGTAGCAGCTGTGTTGGGTAAGGTTGCATATTCTATCGTGTCAGTTAAAATTGCAACGCTTAACATTTATTCCCCGTCAGGAAAAATCACTGGATTCTTTTCAAGTTGAGGGTTTTTTTAAAAAAAAAATGTGACTGCTTTTTTTGTTTTTATTGCCTGTTTAGTACTTGCAAATCTGGCTTTGGGAACTATTTGAATGTAAAATGAAATACATCAGAGATGTATCTTCAAAAAGACCGAAGTAAATTTCTATTGTTGAAGTAAAGAATATGAAGATGTAAATGTTTTCTGCTTAAGACAAACCCTGTTGGTTTGTGGTTATAGAAGGTTTGAAAAGCAAAAACTACTGTGAAATAAATCCATACCATTTGATGATTTCTCCCTCCCAATAAATGTCTATGGAGATGCTCAATCATCCAGGTCATGTTTTTATCCCAAAGGTGCTTTTCGAAAAGGCAATGGGACTTTGTTTTTTCCTTGAAGACGTTTTGTTTCTCGTCCAAGAAGTTTCTTTAGTTCTGATTGAATGCTGGAGGATGGAAGGACTCTCAGAGGGACTGCAAGAAAATAAAAATTTCCATCTGTTCTCCAACCTGTTTATTAGACCCGTGCCCCTCCTGGCTGGTTTNGACTGGGGAACTGGTTCGAGGGCGTGGCAGGCCTAGATTGCTGCCAGTTCCAGTGATCCAGGCCACCAAACCACTACTGGTTCAGCTGAACCGGTCCAGCTGGTAGGAACCCACCATTGAAGATATTACATGTAGTGTTATTAAAAACCCATATTTTTTATTTCGAACAGTATGTGTGGTGTCATTATAGCCACATATTGTTATTTAAAAATAACCTCTGAAATCCATCTGGGTCCATCAACCACTTGGAGTGGACTGACCTAATATGCCCCGCCTCCCTGTGCTGGATAGTGGTGCTAGAAATCCCGTAATAATCAGGGCATGATCTGATTACGACAAGGGTGATACCAACAGATCCCCCAGTTTCAAATCACAAAACTTCTCCTCTGAAGAAGACCAAATCTGATGTCTGACCACTCTCCTGTGTCAGTTCTGGATGACATGGAATAAACCGTGGCTGTCGTGGTGGCCATAAACTCCTGAGCCAACTCATACCTCACTGCTAGGGAAGGCAGATTGAAATCCTAGACTTGAAGATCATAAGTCTCGAGACGTTTGCTGCCAATCCAGAAATGGTATCAAAACATTCAGGCAGGAACATTGCTAGGGAACAGGGACCAACAATCACAATTGATTCCCCAGGCTCCAAGTTAATGAACAGATTGTCATATCCATAACCATGGTGCAGTGCCTGTGAAAGCCATAAGAGATTTCTGGATAACAACCACCAGACTGCCACTTCTTCCCCAGGTTCTTGGCTGATTGTCTTGGCCCAAAACTCAGCTGGAATGGAAAACCAGTATAAGACATCAGCCACACGTTCCTCATGCCTGTCACCCTCATAATACTTTGGCTTGCCCCAATCCCCCCTCCCCAAAGACAGCATAATTCTCTAAGCTAAGGGACCTCCCACTGTTCACAATTTCATCCATCCCAGGAACAGGAAGTCAGGCTCCTCAAGGCACTTTGGGTTCATTAGCTTTCAGTGCCATCAGAATACCCAGTAACCACCTCCCCTATTTCACCCACAAACATAGCCACAAACACAACTGGCACTCATAGGCATTGTTCTCATCAACTGATCAAGGGCAACCTTCCATTTATCCCCAAGCTCTACTAATTCTCTCATGTGGCTCTCATCCAGAGGTGAGAAAAAGTCCTCAGTGGAAAACCCAGGTCCACAGTCATAGATAACTTAGCTGATTGATCCATGTCAAGGTGGTCACCAATTACCACATCATCTTCCTTTCTGGGACTGGCTAAAGAGAGGGCAAAATGGCTTCTGTAGTGATGGAGGGTCCACAATAGCCTGTCAATCTACTGTTATTTCCCCTTCTCCATTCACCATCATCACTCTCCAAGTCCCAACATCCTGGTTGACCTCCCAGATGGAAATCTGCCAGAGCGCAGTTCACAGCTGCCAGGGCCTCACAATGTTGCAGTGAGAAGAGGACCCCCATCATCAATATATAATCAACTAGCTGCAAGAAATGCCCAGTCCTCCACTGCTGATGGCCAGCCTGACTGTCAACTTTCTCTCTAACACATCTGCCAACAAACCCTACCAAAGAAAAAGGTCCACAAAGGTGAGATACCAGTCACAAAGAACAGATGGGCTACTTTCACAATCTCTATTGTGTTTACAGGCATGGCACATCCTCTGGCCCGCTTCTCCAGGAACAGCTCAAACAGGTCCAATAGCAAGTCCAGCTTCAACCCAGACACTTCTCTGACATTCCATATAACATTTTGTACAACCAGATCACTATGAGGAGAGTCCATCTATGGCTGCTAATTTCTCCACTAGCCTACTTTAGAAATTTTGGGTTGTATACAAGGCTGGTGAAATTCTAGATTTCTACAAATTCACAGGAGCAAATTTCCAAGTTACTCAACAACTCTGATTCCTTATACTAGGAATAGTTGAAGGCATACATATGTGAACAATTTTTCTCACCTATGAAAATTAACAAATCTTTACTAAGGTTAAGAATAACTACTGAATATTTTCAATTAATACTGAAGTCAATTTTGTCGCCAGATATAAAACCCAATGCTTTTTCAGTAAGGGTAATGAATCTTTTTTATTTCTGTCTATATTTTTAATTTTATACTCTATACATTCCTTGAGACCACGTGTAAATGAAGCTGAGAAAATAGTGTTGTTGTTGTTTTGTTAATTTAATTAGGTACTGAAATAGACAGGAGAGATGGATGGCCTGTTGATAAAAGGCGCTGTCCATCACACCTGGCTAGGTTAATTCAATCAGTGATGAAGAAAAGATAAACAAATAACTTTGTGTATTAATTATTCATGCTACATTTGCGCTTTGCTCATTCGCAATGTTATAATTCTGTTTCATCAGTACTCACTGACTTTTAAACAATCTGCAGGGAAACTTACACGAAGGCTGCTTCCTTATTGCAATATGCTTTCTAGTATGCTTTTCCTGGATGTTACAGTTTTAGATGTCCAATTTGATTAGCAGGCTCTGATGTTCCCTTGGAATGGCACAATGACCCAGGCACTTAATTTAGTCCCTTCCAAAATGCACCTGACCCCATCCTAGAAGTATGGCAGCAATGAAAGACAAGAGCAAATGTCAAAAGACTTGTGTTGAGAATAAATTTCCCTCTTTTGTGAAACAGGAAGGGCTATAGAAGGGCTGCAGGAAAATTTAAGCATGGCAGGATAAGGAAAGCCCGGGCCCTGATTAAAGAGAGACACAGCAAAAGCAAAAGCCCAGACTTTCGATAAAAACAGCGGGGTGGTGAAGAGAGACCTGGGGTGGGCTCTTGGGGATTTGCATGGGTTTGGGTGATCCTCTAGTTGGGATTCTGTCCAGTTTGGCGAACCACCAAATGCCACCCCTGGCTGGCCATGCTTAAATTGCCCTTCCCTCCCCTCCCACTCTGCCCCTCCCCTTCCTCCTCTCCCACCCTGCATCTCTCCTCCCAGGAATCTCCACGTGGTCCATTCATCATGCCAGGTCAGTTCAGGGCCCGTGTGGAGGCTCAGGGATGGGGGGTTACTGGATGTTCTAGAAATCCAGAAATGCCCCTGTTTCCTGCCTCCAGAAGGCCCCTT